TCATTCAGTTACATAATGTCTCTAGCTGCTTTTCTGCTGAACCAGTCACTTTCTTGAAAAACACCCAACATGCTGGGGGTTTAGCTCAGCGGCACAGTGCCTACCTGGCAAGCGCAAGGTCGTGAGTTCGATTCCCGGTACTGGAAAAAAAAAAAAAACAAAAAAAAAAAAAAAAAAAAAAAGAAAAATGCATTTCTGAGATAGCTACATTTGCTAACTCAAACCCTTTCCCATGTCTTTAATCTCTTATAAAAACCCCAATCTCTTACCCTGATGGTGCAACTCCTCTCTTAGAAACTTTCCCACTGTCCTCCTTGACAATGTGCTTTGATCTAAATAAACTCATCTGCTTATTTTGATCTTGGTAAATTCTTTTACCACCATGTCACTGGCCCTCAGTAATGTCATCTGGTATGGCACTGGTGATTTTTAGAATCAGTGGTCTGGAGCCTCTTACCATCTCCCAGTGTCTGACAAGATTGCGGAGCCCCCTCAGGGCAAGAATCCTGAAGAGATCATTTCCATGGTGCAGCCAGTCTTTCAAGCGGGCTATGGAATATATGCTGGGCAGTCTCCTAGCCACTGGACTCTGAAGGAGCTGAAAGAACCCAGAAACCAACAGAAGAAATGATCTCTAAGCCATTTTCTCAAGAGAGAAGTGTCCTTCCTACCAACTCTAAAACATTTATTTTCCTTTGAAATCTCTATGATATTGTATACACACTATAGAGTGACGCTTAAACACGGAATAATTAATATATAGAAAGAAGAAATGTAATGTTCTTGAATCTGAAAAATATTTCTTTCACATGCCCAAGTTGGATATGACCTAGGAAGGTTGGTGCTGCTTTATAGCACCCTGCATCCAGCATCTACATAAAGAATCTTACCTCCACAAAAAAGCCGGCAGATGTGAGCTTATGTTTATCATTCCCTCGATTAAGAAGTGGGACTAACAAATACAAGATCCTGCACGCAAGGAAGTGATCTCTTTCTAGCAATGCACTGCAAAACAGAATGAAAGAATGACTCTCAGGCATGCTTCCCCGCAGGGGGCATTTTCTCAGACTGGGGACTCCCTGAAATTTTGTCCACCGTCCAGTGTACAGGAGGATATGGGAGAGCCAGGACCTCGGGAAAGGTTGCCTGGTGGTATGGTGTTGCCCAGCGTCTTATGAGAAGGTGAGCCAACCTCAGTTTTGACAACTAAAAGGGGGAAAAGATACCTAGTACAATACTGACGTAGGGCAGGGGGGTATAATATGACAGGGGAGCCTTACTTGGCAAGGAGAAATACTCCCTGGAGATGGCAATCTTCTTCTTCCAGCAGAGTCCATCCTTTATTCTTTTCCATTATGTCAAATTCCTGCCTGCATAGTGCTCTGAGAAGTAGAGTCTTTGTGGCCTGTGTGGCCAAACTAAATCAAACACAAATAGGTTAGTGACTGGAAGAGATCTCACTAACTTGTAAGCACAGTCACTCTGGTCTTGCTGGGAAGGACCACACATTGGTAGCTGCAGACTGTGATTCTCCCTTCCCTAGGTTTCCCAAGAGTCTTAGTGCTCTAACAACCTGAAAGGGGCTTCACAGAAATTCTCAGCATAAAGAAGTCTAACTAGGTTTTATTTTCCCAGGAGTTTGGAAGGAACTCTATGGTGAAACAAATGATCTAGGACACTAAAGAGATTTTCAATGCTGTGTTTGTAGGGGTGTGTGTGTGTGTGTGTGTGTGTGTGTGTGTGCGCGTGTGTGTGGTGTTGGGCATTGAACTCAGGGCCTTCACACTGAGCTATATCCTCAGCCCTTTTATTTCTCTTATTTTTGAGGCAGAGTTTCACTGAGTTGGTAAGTTGCCCAGGCTGGGCTCAAACTTTTAATCCTCATGCCTCAGTGTCCCAGAGTGCTGAGATTACAGGCATGTCCCACAATGTCCAATTTTGCTTCTTTTTAAAAAAAGTTTAAAAAAAAATCTTCATTTTGAAACAATGTATACCCCATAGAAACTTAACCTTACTGCTTTTATAGGGCTTTGAAGGAAATGGGGAGAATAGAGAATGATGTTACTGGGCATCACATTTCTTTTTCTTTTTTCTTTTCTTTTCTTGAGTCAGGGTTTCACTTTGTAGTTCAGCTTGGTCTTGAACTTACTATGTAGTTCAGGCTGGCCTTGAACTTGCATCGATCCTCCTGCCTCTGCCTCCCCAGGTGCTGGGATTACAGGTGTGCGCCATTGTGCCCCACAACCTCAGTGCTTTTAAAAAGCAGTTCAAACTGGGTGTAGTGACGTACACCTGTAATCCCAGCACTTGGGAAACTGAGGCAGGAGGATTGCTGCAAATTCAAGACCAGCCTGCACTACATAGCAAGACCCTGTCTCAAAAAAAAAAAAAAAGAAAAGAAAAGAAAAAAAAAAAAACTACTTGTTCAGTTGGTATCATGGACATGGCATCCAAGAATTTTAAAGCTGGAACAGTCCTTAGAGATCATCTTGCCTGATCTCATTAACAGATAAGGAAACTGAGGCACAGAACTATAAATTTAACAAATACAGTTAAGTGGGTGAATGAGAACTAGAACTTGGTCTACCTGCCACTCTTAGTTGGGTGTTCTTAAATATTCCACAGTATAGCCCTTCCTCTGAAAGAAATCCATGTTCCAAAGCCACACTAAGAAATTTCTGTTGAGACCCTCATGGGGAACTAAAAGCATTTTTCCATGCATTAAACCAGAAATGAGGATTGGTACAGTTTTGGAGGTGAGTTTAAGCCATTTTGTTTGTCTCTGTCTCTACTTGTTTTATCAAGAAGGGCTGGTGTGATATCACACATTATCTTGCAAGGCCTCTGAACTCACACAGGCAAATATTAAAGACTACCAATGAAAGCCCAGAACAATTCCTGGCATTGTATCTCCATGTCTCATGAGGGCTATGGACTGTCTGCCCCCTCACAGTTAGGACCGCTCTCAGGTATCATCGGTGCCCAGTGCTTCATAAGTGTTAAGGTCCTGAAACTGCAATGGGAAGTACCACAAAGGTGTGACCGCTGTCGACATTTTCTGCTCTGTATACAGGCCACTTGGGATGGCGACGTCAGACATGGTTAGGCCAATGCTGTGGTGAATCTGGATGAGCAGTGTCATGAGAAGCTGAGGGAAGAGTCGGAATGTAGCTGCTCGCAGCCTGTTTCCCACAAACACCTCATAAAGGGCATCTGTTGCCTGCAGTAGAAAAGGCACAGAGCAGATCTGAGTTCCTGTAACCCTAAATCTCTAAACTATTACATTTCTAATTCTTTTGCATAGCTTCTTTTAGTGCCAGAACATGTTTTTTGGTTCTACTACCCCATAGGCAGAACAGTGGCAATTATATCACAGGGACATGGAAGTGAAGGGGAAAAGGAATAGGAGTAAAGTGGTCATTAAAGTCACCAGTCTTGGGGAATGGGTCTGAAGTAGAGCACTGTTGGGTACAATCCCTAGTATCTCCCTCCCCGTCACAAAAAGGTTACCAAGCCGGGGATATAGCTCAACGGCATAGTGCCTGCCTGGCAAGCGTGAGGTCAAAAGTGAGTTCAAGGGGCTGGGGATTTAGCTCAGTGGCACAGCACCTGCCTGGCAAGAGCGAGGTTGTGAGTTCGATTCCTGGTACCAAAAAAACCAAAAACAAACAAACAAACAAAAAAAGTGAGTTCAATTCCCAGTACCAAAAAAAAAAAAAAGTTACCAAAAGGAGACTTGAAATCCAAAGTCGTAAAACTATTTATTTATTTATTTATTTATTGAGACAGGGTCTTGCTATGTAGTGCAGGGTGGCCCTAAACTATGTAGCCCAGTAGGTTGGCCTTGAACTCACAGGATCCTCTTGCCTCAGGTTCCAGAGTGCTGGGATTATAGACATGTGCCACCACACCCGGCTTGATAAAGAAAACTATTAACATATTTGACTAAATACAAATAGAAAACCAGGGCAAGATTTATCATAAAGTTAGATAACAAATAATCCACAAAATGTTTACAACAATGTATTATTCTTAATACAATGCTTTTAAATCTCAGTAAGAAAAACATAAAGGTTTGGTCAGAGTATGAGCAACCCAGAATAGCACTCCCTGAGAGCCAGTGGATAGTCTCAACACCAACTATCCCCACCCTGACCCCACACCCTCTGCATCAGAATCTGCGCATCAGCAAGATCCCCAGGTGACTGTGGTTTGTGTGCATATTAAATTTGAGAAGCACTATTGTACAGGCCATGAGCAGATGAGTCACAAACAAAGCAATGTAAATAGCAAATTAAAAAAAACATGCAAACTGTCAACCTTTCCAAAAACAAAATTATAATTAAAACTTACACTTTTCACCTAATTGCAAGGCAATAATGAAAAAACAGTGCCAAGAGGGTGAGGAGAAATAGGTGTCCCTCAGATATGACGGAGGAAGGGCAACATTCTGGGAACATGTATCAAAGCTTTGCATACATCCACTGTTTGACCCAGAACTTCCTCTCCAGTGGACCTTATCCCAAGAAATATTGAATATTTATGACAATACTTACATATGCACAATTAAGGTTGCTGCAGCATTGTTTTAATGGCAAAGTTTGAAAGTTATTAAAATGCTCATTTAACAGAAAACGTTATAACTAAAAATGATCCTGATCCAGGTAGCTGTAGTCTCAGCTACTTAGGAAGCTGAAGCAAGAGGATCCCTTGAACCTAAGAACTACAGGCTATCTCAAGCAACACAGTGAGACCCCATCGTAAAAAAACCAGAACAAAACAACAAAAAATGTTCTATGTCGTGTAAGATATATTTAAAAAAACAAGTAATTAAAGATAAATGACTAGCTAGGCATGGTGGCACACACCTGTAATCCCAGCACTCAGGAAGCTGAGGCAAGAGGATCACAAGTTCGAGGTCAGCCTGGGCTATCAAGTGAGATCCTGTCTCAAAAAATTAAAAGACAAAAACAAACAAACAAAGAGAAAACAACTATACCTTCATAAAAAGATAGTAGAAAGTCCTATATATTGATATGAAAAGTACTTCATATTGTTAATTGAAAAAAGCAATATATGTAGTATGCACCTATTAATATATATACAATTTTACAGATTAATATGATTGAATATATACTTCTATCTGTCCTATCTTTTAAAACTGCACTAAAATGGTATTATAGGGATAAAGTATACACTGATAGAAGACAAAGCTGACAGAAGACGAAGCTGTGTATGTGTGGAAGCCAGGGGCTTGGGGAAACTTTAACTTGCTGCTCGATTTTGCTATGAATGTAAAACTACTCTAAAAAGTTAATTCTATTTTAAAAGGAAAAAATGAAAAAAGTATAATAAATATACAGTATACAGAAAAAGTAATGTATAAATGCATCTAAAAAGTTCATTTTCAGGGACATGGTACAGACATGAGCTAAAATGGTTTTACTTTTTTTTTTTTTTTTAATCTTTGTAGCAATAGGGTGTTGTGATGTATGAGATCCAGTCTGACAGGTCTCAAACTCCTGGGCTCAAGCAATCCTTCTGCATTAGCCTTCTGTGTAGCTGGGAGTACAGACAGATATCACTGGCTTCCGGTTTTACTTTTTTTTGGTGGGGGGCAAGGTCTCACTATGTAGTTCAGGCTGGCCTTCAACTCATAGCAATACTCCTGCCTCAGCCTCCCAAGTGCTGGGATTACAGGCATGCATCACCACGCCTGGCACATTTTTTAAAAAGAGTTGTTTGAAATTAAAAAATCCAGTGAAGCTAGGTACAGTTGCATATGTCTGTAATGCCAGCTACTTGGGAGGCTGAAGAAAGAGGATTGCAAGTTCGAGGGCAGCCTGGGGAACATAGTGAGACCCTGTCTCAAAAACAAAAAGGCTGATGCGTAGCACAGTTGTAGGGTTTAGCATGCAGAAAGATCTAGATTCAATTTCCAGTACACACACACACACACACACACACACACATATCCAAAGAATACGTGGTCTGCAAATACTAAGATATTTACAATTAATCTTTTATAGAAAAAGTTTGCCAACTCATAATCGAGAGGATGTATGCTTTGTATTTTATATTTATCTACCCGGCAGTACTAGAGATCAAAACTAGAGCCTTGTGCCTGGTATACAGGCACTCCCACTAGTTACATCTGCAGTCCTACTTAAAAATTTTCTTGCCAGGTATGGTAGCATACACCTGTAATTCCAGCTACTTGGGAGGATGAGGTGGAATGATCCAAATCTGAGGCTAGCCTGGACAAATTAGCAAGATCCTATCTCAAAATAAAATTTAAAAAGGACTAGAAATACAGCTTAGTGGTAGTGCTTACCTAGCATGTATGAGGCCCTGGTTCAATCCCTAGTACTGCAAACAAATAAAACTTTTTCACCGGGTGTGGTGGCACATGCCTATAATCCCAGCACTTCGGAGGCTGCAGTAGGAAGATTGCTGCAGAGTTTGAGACCAGCCTGGACTACAAAAGTGAGCTCAAAGCCAGCCTGAACTGCATAGCAAGACCCTGTTTCAAAAAAAGCCCTCCCCTCCAAAAACAACCCCAAAACCCAAAACCAAAACAAAAAAATGAAACCTTTTCTTCACAGGTTTGTGTTATTCTTCAACTATGGTGATAATTTTTTTTTTTTAAGATGCAAGGATATTTAAGCATATTAAGCCACCTAAGAGTTTCCTAAGCTCTTCCTAGCTGCTTTCATGTCAATCCCTTGGCAGAGAATATGTGTATAGATTTGTAAGTGACTTATACATGAATGTCAGAGCAAATTTTGATGGAGACTGAAAATAACACTTTCCAGATGGGGGAAATCATCCTTGGAGGGGAGCATAGTGAGTGAAGTTAGAGGGGCAGGACTCATGGCTTACAGCAACAGCCACATAGGCCATCTTCTCCTGGCAGGGCACACTGTGGCATTTCTGGAGCTTCCTCAGCAGCCTCCACAGTACCCAGGTCGTGCTGGGCAGGTCTATGTTCAGAGTTCTCCAAAACGCCGCTAGATTCCTAGAAACCCCAGAGACAGAAAGGTCAGGAGAATGGCTTATCCTGGGCCTATCATGACCACAGCCTTCCTAGAATCTGGAATCTGATTTATACGAGGTTTTCTTCTCTGCTCAGTTCTTCAGAGATAAACTAGAGACAAACTAATCTGATTTTTTTTTTTTTTTCATTCATTGAGTAGATCTTTATTGAATTCTTATTGTGTGCTAGGCCCTGTTCTAGTCTCTGGGAATATATTTGTGAACAAAGAAAAGAACTCTGCCCTTGTGGAGCTTATACTCTAGATTGGGATGGGATTGGCAATACACTTACATAAATCCAAACATACCTATCGGCAAAAAGACACACACATTTAAACAGTATAATTATTAATATTAGAAAAGTCTTCTGGTGGTATGCCATTTTATTATACATTGTACTTATTACTTGCATGATATATTCAGACCTACATATCACCCCACAGGGAATAAGACCATTAGAGGAAACTTTATTGGCAATCTAAAAGATTTTAAAAGATCACTTTGAGTGTGCTCAATTTTGTCCTTCAGCAGTCTTAAAAACCTAACCACCTTACGAGCTGTGACTCCACTGTGCCAACATGAAGTCTCTGTGATCACTGGGCAAAAGAGAACCAGTTTAAGGACCTGAGTATGAGACCAGCAGCATGATGAATTCATGTCTGGTCCACCTGGTCTGGTAACAGAGAACAAGACATAGCACATCCACAATTAATCTGATATCTTAACAGTAGATACTAAAGTTTTAGTGAGCCAAGTCCCCATGGCCTGGACACGGGCCTCAAAGCCATTCACAAACTGGTCCTAACCTAACTTTCTAGTTCTACGACTTCCCTATCACATACTTTGTGGTCTCACCACCCCATACTAATGATCTTTGCCAGACAAACCACAGATGTTGAAAACCCTATTACCTTTGCCTAGATCATTTCCTTTGATCAGAAGACCCTTTCCCCAAAGTCTCCTCTGCCCATCAGCACCCTGTAAGGTCCAGCTCCAGTGTTACCTCCTCTGTGAAGCCTTAACTGCTTGTTCACCAGATCTCTCATGAGAGTTCCCATAACACTTTTGAAAACTTTCTCTATAGAGGGGCCTCAATCTTACACATGCTATGGTTAGTTCTCAATATTTATGTCTACCTGTTCATGCTGAAGGAAAGATTTTATCTAGCTCTTTCATGATTCCTTTAGGACCTAGCACAATGACAGATTGACAAAAGCCATTCAAGGACATATCCATTCAATCCAGTCTATGGTCCTCATACTGGCTAAGGTCAAGCACTGCAATACAGTTTTGATCCTTCTTAGAAGAGACTTTAAAAAAAAGATCTTAAAGAAAATTAATATTTCTCAAAAAGACTATGAGTTGGGTGTGGCAGTGGTATGCCTATAATCCCAGCACTCTGGGAGGTTGAGGCAGGAGGATAACAAGTTCCCAGACTGAATTACTTGGTAATATAGGAAGACCTTGTCTCAGAAAAAGGTTTTTTTTTTTTTTTAAAGAGCTGCAAGCCATGTGTGGTGGTACATGCATGTAAGGGAGACTGATCTAGGAGGACTGCAAGTTTGAGATGTAGCTCAATGGGAAGGCCCTGGGTTCAGTCCTCAGTACCACCAAAAGCAAACAAACAGGAACAAAAAACTAAAACCCCACAAAGAGTTCGAACTAATATACTGTAGTTAATATAGTAGGTCTGGGATAATCTTTAGAGTTTTGGAAGGTGCCTTCCCATTGAGCTAATAAATGTACCAATTTATTCATTTACTTATTTTGTGGCAAAATCATTCTGCAAGTGAGTTTTTACAATATGACATTTTACTCTGCATAACTTCTGTGTCTTATCTTCTTCCAGTAAGAACTTCCTTCTGTATAACCACAGTATCATTTCACACCTAAGGAAGTTATATTAATAATTGAGTGGAGGGGTCATATTTAAATTTTCTCCAAATTTTCTTTTATAGCTTTTATGTTTGATCCATGATCCAATCAAGGTCATCTCTTGCATTAGGTTATGTTGGTTTAGTACATTTTTATCTGGAACAGTGCCCCCACCACCGTTTTTATTTCATGACATAACTTTTTTGAAGAATCTAGTTGAATTATCTTACAGAATGTTATTCACAGTGTATTTATTGTATTATTTCGTTATGTTCATATATTATTTTCTGATTATAGGCATCTATCTATATCTTATCTCCTCCACAAGACTCTCATTAAATTATTTTTGGCTTTTTTGAGACGGTCTCACAATATTCTGTGGCTTTGAACTCATGATCCTCTTGCCTCAGCCACCCAGAGTGCTGGGATTATAGTGTGTGCCACCGTGCTTGGTTGAGTCTCCTTAGTTTGTTTTGTTTTTTGAGACAGGGTCTTGCTATGTAGGCCAGGTTGGTCCTGAACTCACTATAAAGCCCAGGCTGGCCTTGAACTCACAGCGATCCATCCTCCTGCCTCAGCCTTTCTCATTAGATTTTTGAGGGCAACCTTGTTCCACAAAACTCAAGTTAGGGGCCCCAATGTAATCCAGAGGGTTCACAGGTTCCGTTACCTGTCATATGGTACTGGTTGGCACAGAAGATGGCTAAGCACTATATCTGTGTACTTGGGTCTGGAGATAAACAAACTCACAGTACTTATGATTTGTTCGCGGACTCCTGGCTGACTGATTATGGGTAGCTGGGCACAGATAACTCCCATAATTTCTGGTACCTGAGGAGAAAAAAGAAATTACTAATACCGTAATCCTGTGGGACATTAATGATTTCTGAGGGTATTGTGGCCATTTCTGAAAAATCCCAGGGGGTGATTTTTAAATAATATTTTTACTTAGAAAAAGTTTGTTTAAAAAAAGGTGTCACTCAGTGGCTTGCTTAACATGTACAAGGATCTGGGCTTAATCCCCAGCACCAAAAGTTTATCAACAAAATTACTTAAGATGTATCTGTAGGTGTGGATATGTACATAAATAGATTTGGAGCTTGGCACGGTGGTGCATCCCTGTAATCTCAGCATTCTGGGAGGCTGAGGCAGGAGGACTGTAAATTCAAGCCCAGCCTGGGTAACTCAGTAACTTAACGAGATCCTATCTAAAAATAAAAAATAAAATAAGAGCTGGGGATATAGCTCACTGAGAGGGTCTTGGGTTCAGTCCCTAGTACCACAATAAATAAATAAATAAACAAATAAATAAATAAATTTGGAAGATGTAAAATCAAATATGTTAAAGGTGTGTCTTTGAGTGATGTGCTATTACATTTTTACCCTAATTTTTCCTCAATAATTACGTATTGATTTTATAATATACAAAGAAAAGTGTTGCAATAAAACTTTTTTTTCCCCCTTCACTCTGAGCCTGATTATGGCAGAGGAGTCCCCATCTACCTTCCTCTCAGACATGACTATGAGATCAAGTAGTGGAAGCAGGACCCACAGGGTTTGGGTCCCTTTCTTTGCTTGCACTGCTCTTCCGGTAGGTGCATGGCTTCAGGTCTCAAGGAGCTATCAGCTCCCAAGAGAGGCAGCTGTCAATGCCCTCCTGTAAAATGGCTGTTATCACTCCTCGTTGCCAGAAACCGGATGAAGCCCAGACAGGTGATTCAACTCTGGCTAATGAGACAGGAGGGCAGCTCTACTGGGGGCTTTTGAGAAGGATGGTCTCCCCTTAATAGAGGGATGAAAAGGAAGCTAACATCCTTCTTCCTTCTGGGTAGTCTATTCTGCCTGTAAGGTCTGAAATTGTTAGGACTGCTTTATGACCACATGAATAGGAAGAGCAGAAAGAAAATCTGCTAAGTCTTGCATGATACTGTTGAATTATTGAGCCCATTCCGGAAAATATAAAAATATATGTCCAAACTTCTTATATATTTATATTAATTATGTAATTTAATATATTTAATTATGTTATTAAGGGTACATATTAATATAAATATGAATTATATACAGTAGTAAATCCTTTGGTTAAATCTCTCATGGTTGGCCTTTTTAGCCACTGAAAGCACCCAAATCATGCAAGTTTCCAGCTTACCCTGCTCTTATTATACTGTTCCTTTTATAGCTTTCCTTTTTTTCTTTTCTTACCTTTTTTTTTTGCAGTACTAGGGATTGAACCCAGGGTCTTCCCACTGAGCTACTTCTCCAAGTCCCTGTGAGACAGTCTTGCTAAATCTCTAAGATGCCCAGACTAGGCTCAAGCTTGCAATCCTATCTCAGCCTACCAGACTGCCAGGATTACAGGAGTGTGCCACCATGCTGAGCTGCTTTGCTAGTTTGATAAGGCAAAAAATGGGCTCTCATCATTTCAAAATTGCATTTTTAAAAAATTTAAATATCCTTCCTTCCTTCCTTCCTATTTTCTTTGCACCAGTGCCTCATGTATGCTACGCAAGTGTTGTACTACTGAACTGTATCCCAGCCCTTATTTTTCATTTTTATCAATGCTTACTGAATGGAGAAATAAATGTTTCTGAGCAAAGGGACTAAGACACTGGCCCTGTCTCCAGTTAGTAGTTGTTCTCAGCTGGTCAGGAGTAAGAGTGAAGAGCTCTTGCTGGTATTTCATTCATTCTTTTTTCTTTCTTTTTCTTTTTTTTTTTTTTTTACTGGGAATTGGACTCAGGACCTTGTGCTTGCCAGGCAGGCACTTATGCCACTGAGCTAGATCCCCAGCCCTAAACTGTTATTTCTTTTTTTGGTTCTGGGAATCGAACTCAGGACCTTGCATTTGTGAGGCAGGCGCTTGTGCCACGGAGCTATAGCCCTGGCGTTGCTGGTATTTCAAGCCTAGACAGTGGCCACCAATTTGTACCTTCTCAAATCGGCACTCCGCTTTTTTTACCAACATTAGCAGCAATTCTCCGGCTAATTCCTGGGTGCAAGTATGTTTCAGATTTTTTAGGCCATTCAGTGTAGTCATTATAAACTGGCAGAGCTCATTTGAATTGAGGAAAACTTCAAAGACCTGAAATGATTTAGGAAAAGCGAACTTCTAAGAAATATGTTACGATAGAAAGAACCATGAACAAAAACTAGATTTTGTTTGTTTGCTTGTTTGTTTTGAGGTAAACAGACAGTTTGAGTCTTACTATGTGGTTCACGTTGGACTGGAACTCTCTGTTTAGCCCAGGCTGGCCCTGCAGCGAGCCTCCTGCCTCAACCTCTTGAGTGCTGGGATTACAGTCATGTACTACCAGGCTGGGCAAAAACTAGATTTTATTTTTTTTATTTTTTTTTTTGTTTTTTTCCGGTACCGGGAACCGAACTCACGACCTTGCGCTTGCCAGGCAGGCGCTTTTGCCGCTGAGCTAAATCCCCAGCCCCTAGATTTTAAGTTAACAATCAGAGAAGTGTACAGATGTACAGGCTGCTTGCTCCAGTCTTGCTCTAAGGTGAAAACTAGAAGCAACCCCAATGTACACTGTTAAAAGTTGTGCAAAGCCTTTTGCTCTTTAACTTTTAGAAGCTTTCAAGATGAGGCCTTTAGAAAGAGTCACAGCTTGTAGAAGTAGGACTAAAGGAGAGGTCCTAATAAAAAAGGGGGACAGTGTCTGTGGCACAACTAAAATGCCTTGTGAAGAGACATCATATTAAAAGAATGTATCTGCTTCTTGTTGCATTTGGGAGTGTATAAAGTAGTTCACATGATTATAATAGGTTCAGTCTGGGGGGGGCTTACTTTGTGACAGGCATTAAGTATTTTGCACATGACATCTCATTTAACCCTTGCAATAACTGAGCTATTCTACTTTTACAGATGAGGAAACTGAAACTGTGCTGAGAGATTAAATTACCGGTACCTTTGACCCTACAGAAGTAAGATCTGTAGGTTTTCCTAGTCCCTTCCATGCACGGTACCTAGTGGATATGTAAGTATTTATTAAGTGAAGAATAACTACGTAATTTAAAAGTACATGGCTCATGGCTCAACCACTGTTTCCTGCAGCTCCTTTTGGTGACATGGGTTTACATTTATAAGCAGCTGGCACTCAGGGACAGCAGAGCTAGTCCGAAGAGAAAGCCATATAGTGATATAGGCCTCTTGGCCAGTGACCTAGGCACCAAATTAAGAGGACAGGTGTTTAGTGTTAAGGCTTGAGGGACAAACTGGGGAGTTCAAAGTACCATGCTATGTCAGCTATAGTTAAGTAAACAAGTGGAAACTTCAATTTACAATCATGTATTGAGTCTCAAACCCAGACACAGGGCCTCTGTTTCTGGAACAAGGCATACATCATTCCTTGTTATCATAGCCTATGGCCCAATGATGTCAGGAAAGGAAATGTTCTTTAAAAACCCTCCCACCTTGGGCTGGACCTGTTTTAATTTAAGAATTCATCTTTTTGAAAATTTCTTGTATGATTAAGACCCCTGAGGGAACACTGATCATCTGAAAAGACATTTTGCAATTCCAAAATAACTTCTAATAAAAATACTGACAAACCTATTACCTTAGTCCCCTAAACCCCCAGAGAAACTCGTGTACATAAAAAGATATCCAGACTTCCACTGGGGGCAGCTGCCTGTGCTGGCACTGCCTCCCTTCTCACTTAAAGGCATACATTTCTCTATATCTATTTTACAATAAATTCTACCTATAGTTCTGCAGGGTTGCCTATGTGTCTTGACTGAATTCTTTCATCAAGGGCACAAAGGACCAAAGAGATTCACAAGGCCTAGTTCCTTGTGGCTAAGAATCTGCTTTCCTGTGATTTTTTTTGTTCCAGGACCCCAAACAGTGATATAGTCCTCATTGGTAGGTTGCCCTAGTGACTAAACTAAAGCGATAGGTGTGTATGAGTTATAAACATGGTATTTTGTCTCCAAACTTGAATGTTCAGGGAGCACATTCCTGGGAAATCCCCTTTTATGTTTAATTTTTAAGAAACCACCAGAACTTTCTCCAAAGTTACTTTTTTCCATTTTCCATTTTCATGAACAAACAAATGAGATTTCTGGTTACTCCCCCACTCTCACCAACATTTCAAGCTGTTTTTATACTTTTAGCCATTCTGATTACCTGGGCAATTTTGAAAGGATCATGGTAAAACTGCTTAATATCGTGGAGCTCTAGAATTTCACAGCACTTTTTCAACCCTCTTCTCAAGCTCTGGTTTGTTTTGTCTTGAGTGGTATCTAAGAAGAAAGTATGAACTAGTGTTACTTTCTGGCTTATTTCTTCCTTCTTGATTGTACAAGTCTGGTTGATCTCCAGGTCATAATGGATTTGAAGATTTCATTTAAAAGTGCTGGGAGAGAAGGTGTGGCTCAGTGTGATGGCTGGCTTGCTTCTCTCTTCTTGTAAAACAATATGTAAAAAGGGTTGATGGACAGAAAAAAGAGCTTTCCTTAAGGGTAGCGTGACCTGTGAATACAAATAAGACATGCTTCCTCATTTCCCCATTGTTGAAGAAATTTTAAACAGTCTCTCTGTGAAGCTTAAATTCTGACAAAAATGTGATAATTCCTTTATCAGATGTCTTTAGGCAGGTAGAGTTTTGCTGGTTGTGGAGCCTGCCAACACTTGGGTAGTGCTGTAACCTATCTTTTAGGGGAAAAAAATGTTTTCAATAGAGCTGCCTCTCTCCTTTTTTTTTCTTTTCCCAGTCCTTTAGCAACCCACCCCTTTGGCATTCTAAAGGGAAGCTTCTACAAACACCCACTCCCCTCTTGAGCTTATATAAAAAAGCTTGCAGAGAAGCAACTGTTTGAACAGTGTGCAGATGCTAACCCCAGGAGGTTAGGGCTTGGGTTAGGGTTAGAGTTAGGTTATGTTTCTTCTTTTTTTTTTAAGAGAAAAAGAAAAGCATAAAAATAACAATAAAACAGAGTTTCAAAACAGGTTAGGAGAGCTATGATAATTAACACATTGCATATTGTTGTCTTTATAGTAGTCACTCAGGGTACAAGACATAGACATGATCGCTTGCCCAAACAATATTAGCACAAACGTTTTTTTTTCAATGAACTAAGAGAAACTAGCTGTATAACTATCTTTATTATCTTGTGTATAAATATATTTTTTTCTTTTTCCCTTCCTTCTTTTCCCCTTTCCCCCTTCACACTTTGTCTTTACTTTTGAACAACTTCTTCCCAATTCACAATATCTATTGTACATTCTGGACCTTACTGTTCAGTTTCTCACCCTAATTCATTCTGATGCAGGAGGAGGGGAGCAGAGAATGGCCCAAGGTACAGTCTACAGAAGACCCTTCTCAGCTTCCTCACACTAAAAGCCCTTCGCAACCCTGAGCACTGGAAGAGAGAGGCTGCAAACAGCAAGAGACTCTTCTATCTTTTGAGCTGGCTTTGAATAAACCTTTCTCATTTCACCACAACTCTGTCTCCCAGGTATGTGAGGAGTGGCAGACAGTATGGACCGTAATCTATAGGAACATGCCTTGCTTTCTCTCATGGTTGGTGTGTCCTCTTATTCCTGGAAACTTCTCTGTTCAAAGTCTTGGAGCCCTTGGTCTAGGATACTATCTCTCCAACTGGAAACTAAGTTCCTTGGGGACGCAATCTTGTCAGTCTTTCTACTGGTACGTCTGTAGTACAAAGGGATCTTACTCAATATTTGTTGAATCAATAACCAGTGGTATTCCTGGCTGTGTGTCTTGGTACACATTTCTCATACTCAGAGCTGCCCAAACATGGGACTGCTGCTGGGAAGCTCGGAGTTTCCTCACCTGTAGGATGAGCAAGCCCAGGAGAGGCACTTACTCGGTGGGGCTGGAGTAAATGAGACTCACACACTGGGGATGCAGGACTGGGTATCTTCTAAACTCTCCTCTAGCTGGGGAAGTCACAGATTTGTTCCTTGATCTTATCAGCTTGCTCCCTATTTTTCAAACTCCTCAAGCTCATACCTGTGAGTGCCCTTTTCATTCTGCCCCCTCAGCCTCATGTGCTCACCTGTCACATGGCTCATTTGTCTTTATCCTTGATTCCTTCAAAAAGGGTTTTTCTGCAATCAAATGTTCTACCTCTGAGCTGTACCCCCAGAAAGGACTTTTCTGAACCCTACAACTAGGTGAGATTTCTTTTTGGGTGAAGGGTGCTAGGGACTGAACTCAAGGCCTTCACATTGAACTCTCCCTAGCCCTTCTGTATTTTGAGATGGGATCTCACGAAATTGCCCAGGCAGAACTTGAATTTGTGATCTTCCTGGCTCAGCTTCCCAGAGCACTGAAATTCTAGGCACGCCCTACCATGCCCAGCATGTGCACATTTCTCTTTATGAGCTACCGTGAAAAGTCCTTCTAAAACACAGAGATGGGGGCTGCAAGGAGAGCCAGAGCTTACGTTATATTAGAAAATTAACTCATGGCCTCACTGCCTTCAGCAGTGCCTTACACTTTAGCCGTAGGGCGACATGCAGCAGGTAGTGTGCGCCTTCTGCAGCCTCTTCAGCCACCGCTCTGAGTGGGTCCCCACATAGCAGTGCCATCAGAGCTACTAGATGTCCAAGGCTTTGGAATTGCAGTGGAAGCTAAGGAAAAAGGAAAAAGAAAAAATGCCATCAGAATATAGGTGCATTTAGTGTCGTAAATTTGAGTTGCTCACAAGTAAGGACACTTCTACCCTGAACTCAAGAGCAGGGGCCAGGGATATAGATCAGTGGCACAAGCACCTGCCTAGAAAGCATAAGGTCCTGAGTTTGATTTCTAGTACCAAAAAAAAAAAAAAAAAAAAAAAAAAGAACTCAAGAGCAGTACAAAGTCCCATCAGGCCTTTAGATCTCTGAAAAGCTAATATTTAACATACATAGATACAATATACCTAACAGACAACATTACATAGGGCAATCATATCCAAAGTGAGGAATCTGAAGATGAAACAGCTGTATGCATCATTCCAAACTGGGTGTGGTGGTGCATGTCTGTAATCCTAGCACTCAGGAGGCTGAGGCAGGAAGATTACTATGAGTTCGAGGCCAGCCAAGGTTACATATGACTTCAAGGCCAGCCTGAAGTACATAGTGAGACCCTGTCTCAAACAAAACAAAACAAAACAAAACAAAAAAGTTCATTCTAGCATTGCTTTTAAAAACCACTCTTTGCAAATAATTATTCAATGATGGTAAAGGGGCTTATGGTACAGCCACTCCACAAATGCAGTCATTAGAAACCAAGTGAGGAATTTACAGCTCTGGAAAATGTGCTACTCTTGTAAGCAAAACAGGTGGATACAAAGTGAGATACAAGGGCTGGGGATTTAGCTCAGCGGCAAAAGCACCTGCCTGGCAAGCGCAAGGTCATGAGTTCGGTTCCTGGTACCGGAGAAAAACCAAAACCAAAAAAAAAAAAGTGAGATATAGCATTTAATACTATTTAAAAATGTTATTTATTGATGTCCTGTGTAATTATGGAAAAAAATGTAAGGTAGCAGCAAAAACCATACCATAAAAAGAACTATAATGTAAGATAGTGAAGAAAATAGGACAAATTTAAAATCAAGGCAGAAAGCAGGGTGCCTCACACCTGTAATTTCAGCTACTTGAGAGGCTGAGATAGGAGGATCCCAAGTTCAAGGCCAGCCTGGGCAGTACTGGAAGACCCTTTCTCAATATGAAACAAACCAAAATCTCACAAATAGACAAACAAAACTAAGGCAGAAAAGAGCAATTAAGAATTCTGTTAGCATGAAGAATGTATGTCAGCATTTGCTCAAGGTAAGCCACAGAGTGAGGCTCTGAACGCTCTTTTGCTAACGGAGGTGCACATAGTGTCCTGGAGTACATTATTGCCACTGTCCATAAGAAGCAAAGAGCCATGCAAAAGAAGCACAACTTTTCCTTAGCCTGAGGCAGAAATAAATTTCTTCAGTGGCTCTTCAGAAACAAGACACAGAAATACTGTGAACACCAGCTCCTGTGGCCTTTTTTAGAGTCAATACAGAAAACCCAAAGCTTTATAATGTGTTTAATTCATTGGAACCATGATTGGCACTGGAGATAGAAGCAGTGAACAAAAGAGAACATTTCTACTCAGGGAGGTGATAATCTAATTGAGGAAGCATTAAATAAATAACAAAAATAACTCAAATGTATTATGCATCAGACAGTGATATATATTATGATGAAAGAAACACAAGAAAGGGCTAGGAGTTGTCACCTTAGAATGGTGACTGAGCCTGGAGATTCTGGGAGGAAAGCCTCACAGGGGTGGGGGTGCTGAGAGGGGAGTGTTTGGTGTTCTTGAGGAAGCACAGTAGGCCAGGGTGCTGGAATCAAGTAAACAAGGGGAAAACAGGAGCTAGATGGAGAAGGGGCTAGAATAGTGTAGCAATTTACAGAACGCTGTAAGGGTTTGGGCTTTACTCTGGGTGAGATGGGAAGCCATTAAAGGGTTTTCAGCAGGGAAAGGACTTGAGCTCACTAACATTTATTCACTAAACATTTAATTGAGCATGAAGCATGTGGCAGATTTTGTGCAAGGCATTGAGAACTGTGATGAATAAGACAAACATTATCACTAGTGGCAATTACATTCAGTTAGACAAAAACAGCTAGTAAATTAATAAAGCAAACAAACCTCCAGTCCTAAGAAGCCCTAGGAAGGAAATAGAGTGATGAGACAGACGGCACGGGGAGAGCTATTTATGTGTAACAAAAGTCTTTTTGAGATGGAGACATTTGGATTTAGCACTACAGAATGAAGAAGGGCCAGCCTGCGAGTGAGGGGCTGGGCAAGGTCAATCTAGACAGAAAGCTGTAAGTACAAAGGATGTGAGGCAAGAAGTGTAGCCAATAAGTAGTGTTTAGTTACTGGGTGTAGAGAGACAGGCAGGAACTAGGTCATACAAGACCTTGTAGTCTAATGATACTTGGATATCACTGTGTAGTCCAGGGTGGCCTTGAACTTGTGGCATTCCTCCTGCCTCAGCCTCCTGAGTGCTGGGATTACACGTATGGGCCATCATGCCCAGCTGGGTATAAACTTTCTTAAGACAAAGAGAATTATGTTTCTAGTCTGTCCTAGTCTGATCATTAAATAGTCCTTTAAATGTGTATGTATATATATATATACACATATATATACACACACATATTTATATATAAATATATACATTTTTATATATTTATTTATTTTAGACAGGTTCTTACTATGTTGCTTATGTCATCCAGCCTGGCCTCAAATTTTCAATCCTTTTGCCTCAGCCTCCTGAGTAGTTGGGAGCACAGTTATGCACCACTATGTCTGACCTTTTATTGTTATTTTTTGGATACTTTTGAGAATTTGAAAACAGGGACCCAGAGAAATGTGCCAAAACTCGTGGAACTATATACTTAAACTGAGTAGACTTCACTGTATATAAATTACAGTTTAATGTAAGGAATGCTCTGGACATTCCTCAGAAAAACTCAGAAGACTGCACTACATAAAATTCTGCATGCAACTTCTGGATATTCATAGACCCCAATGGTACCCAGGTTATGAATCCCTACATTAGCAACTTTCCCTAGGAAAGAAAATGCTAAGGTAGAGCTCCAGGGATAGCAGAAAGACTATGAACACAGGAAGGAGTCATTTGAAACTTTTTAAAAAATTGTAGTAAAATTAGAAGTTTAGGAAGAACAATGCATTGTTGTTACCAGATTAGTAGGAGAAGCTGGGCATGGTGGTACATGCCTGTAATCCCAGCACTTAGGAGGCTGAGGCAGGAGGATCGCTATGAGTTTGAGGCCAGCCTAATCTACATAGTGAGACTCTATCTCAAAAACAAATAAATAGTAGGGGAGTCAGTGAGGGTTAGAAGTTACTTACTTTTCTTCACTAACAAGAAAATAGAGAAATAAGCCAGGCACGGTGGTGCACACCTGTAATCCTAGCACTTGGGAGACTGAGGCAGAAAGATCACCCTGAGTTTGAGGCCAGCCTGGGCTACACTGTGAGACTTTGTCTCAAAAAAATGTGGGCAGTGAGAATAACAGTCTGCATTTACTTCAGTGAAGGAGGTAGAAAGTTTGGATATATTTTCAATGTAAGAAATAAGAAAGCTAGTAGAATGTTTTTACATGTGACTGTCAGAACATCTGTATCAAGAACATATTCTTTGAGGAAAATTCAGGTGCCAGGATCTGGCATCCCTAGCTCACCAACTTCTCTTTCAATTTCCAGCCTTATTACTTTGCAGGGAGAAATGACGGCTGGAGAACAGAAGTACCAGTGGCTGGAAGATATCTAGATATGCTCAGGGAAGGAGAAAGCAGGAAAAAAAGGAATGAGTCCAGGAAGAAAGATCTTAGTTTTGAGGAATTCTTTTTAGAAATTATGGGAGAGATGAAGCCAGGCATGATGACGCATGCCTGTAATCCCAGCACTTGGGAGGCTGAGGCAGGAGGATCACTGCAAGTTCGAGGCCAGCCTGGGCTACAGAGTGAGTTCAAGGCCAGTTAACTGCATAGTGAAACCCTGTCTCAAAAAAAGACAAAAAAAAAAAAAAAAGAAGTTATGGGAGAGGATTGGGAACAACTAAGTAGTAAGAGACTGTGAGGATTTAAAAAGAAGTACCACACTACCGTTCTCTTTGAGATGCTGGGAAATACTTAAATTGATTTGCTTGAATTTATTTGAACTGCATTTCTTCAAACCCAACCTGCACAGAGTCTAGGCCACTGTCAGCCCTTGGACATTTTCAGATGATACTTATTTATCCATTCAAAAATACTTACTGCATTATTATGTTCCAGCTCTATGCTAAGCAAGGGTGATGTAAAGATTAATAAACACAATCCCTGTCCTCAAGATGCTCACATTTTAGGAGGCAGCTATGGAAATAATGCGGTGTGTTGTGATACTGCATGAGCACGAACGGGACCCAGAGCCCACGCAGGGAACAGGAAGGGAAGTGGAAGCGGAAGGATGGCTCTGGGTCCTTCTTCCTTGGCCACCAAAGGGCCGCTCACCTTCAGGCAGAGATGTCTGGATAAGCACTTCAGAACTTGAGCCATGCTGGCTGTGGCCCATTCCCGCTCATGGTCTTTGACTGACTGTAAGCAGGGGCCCATGTGCTGCAAAATATAAAGCAAGGCTACATGGTTTACTAGGAAGATGTGGGATAACACCTTCATATATTCTGGGTTTTTGGGTTTTTTTGTTTTGTTTTTCTTCTGGTACCAGGAATCAAACTCGTGACCTTGCACTTGCCAGGCAGGCGCTTTGCTGCTGAGCTAAATCCCCAGCCCCACCTTCATGTATTCTGTTTGGGAGAAAATCTACAGAGAGAAGATACATATTACTTCCATGTCTGAAAATATCTCCCTAAATGATAAACCAGCTGGGTTGGAGATGAAATTGGTCGAGGACAAGCAAGACTTAAGGACTTAAGCCAATGATGGTGAACCTTTTAGCGCTTTCAACGATAACAAACATGCATGCCATAGATTCACCACCACTTATCTAGGGGGTCAGGAGGTCTGGATTCCCCTGAAGCTGATTTTCTACATTTATTTCTCTTCATCCCAATTCTTTAATTCATTATTATATTCTTCTGTATGTTTTTAACACTTTCTAATCTGAAAAATTTCAAATTTTCAAATTTGGAAAAAAAGAAAATGATGTGTTATTAAAGAACTTGTGCATCTCTCTCAACAATAAGAAAAATACAGAAAACATGGCATCCATGAGTAGAAGCTTATAAAGAAGGTAGCTTCTCAGGTAGAGGAAATGGCTAGAAGTAAGTTGGCAAGCCAGAAAAGTACAAAGTACAACTAGATAAAGGAGAAACACACACTCTGGCTGGTGTGTTAGTGTACAAATAGAAGAGGAATGAGAAATAACGTCAAGGTCAGTTATGGTCAGGACACCCGATCTGTACTTCAGAGCACATGATTAATAATAGCTCAAATGGTTATCCCTTTCTGGTATATCTTCATCTTTAAAAAGTGCAAGAAGGGCTGGGGATATAGCTCAGTGGCATAAGTGCCTGCCTGGCAAGTGCAAGGTCGTGAGTTCGATCCCCGGTACCGCTAAAAAAAAATAAAAATAAAAAGTGCAAGAAGCCAGACACAGTGGTACATGCTTGTAATCTCAGCACTCTAGGATGTAGTGGCAGGAAGGTTAAAGGTTCAAGCCTAGCCTAGGCCACTCAGTGATTTAGCAAGACCCTGTTTTAAAATTTAAAAAAAAGCTGGGGTTGCAAGTCAGCATGAAAGCCCTGGGCTCAATCTCCAGCACTGGGGTGGGGTGGCTGGGGAGGCAAGAGAGCAGTGTGTTTGAGCTGTAGAGCTGCAGGCCAGTGAGAAAATCCCTGCTGATGGAACAACATAAACTGTAATAGCTACAGTTGGGGGCAGGAGGTTGTGTGTGACCTCTGAGTCCTACCTGGTAGGAAGCCGCCTATTTATTAACTCATGAGGTTGACAATTCCCTTGGTCATTGACTAAAACTTTTCCTCCTGCTCTTTTTCCTTCTCTTTCTCTTCTTCCTCCTCCTCTTCCTCTTCTTCTTCCCTCTTCCCTCCCCCTCCTCTTTCTTTTTGTGGTACTGTGGATTGAACCCAGAGTCTTCCCACTGAGCTACATTCCCAACCTCTTTTTTAAATTTTGATAAAGGTTTTCACTTAAATTGCCCAGGCTGGACTCAACACTTATAGTCCTCCTGCCTTCCAGAGTGCTGGCTGGCATTATAGGTGTGCACCACCAGGCGAGGCTAGCTGGAATCACACTGCTATGTAGAAGGGAATGGTAATGTAAAGAATAATTATTCAATCATTTGATCCATTTATTGGAGGCCACTTATTCAATACTAAGAGTAATTAATATCTCCAAGGTGAAAACATGACACTCCGAGAAAGCAAATCCCATGCAAATTTTATTTAATTTAATTTATTTTTTGAGACAAGGTCTCATTATGTAGTTCAGGCTGGCCTTGAACTCACTATGTAGCCCATACTAGCCTCAAACTCACAGTAATCCTCCTTTTTCAGCCTCCCAAGTGCTGGGATTACAGGCATGCACCACCATGCCCAGGTCCATGTAGATTTTATAGCAGAAGGACTTGTCATCAGTGAATTAGGATTTGAGCCTAAACCCACTGACTCAAAGTTGATACTCAGCTGTGTTAATGGTCTCCTGCAATTTAATCCTTTCACATTTTCTTCTTCCACTTTCACCAACGACTAGGAATGTTTTCCCCTTCTTGCCCAATATTTTGTTTACCTTAAAAATGGCATCAAATTTTTCCAAATGTGGGTCTTTTATCACCAAACTCTGGAGCATCTCAGAAAATGCCTGGAACGTCTGCCTGTAGAGACACTGAAAAGGGACAGATCAGCAACACCCCAGCCCATGAAGTTTCTCAAGGTTGCACTTTTAAGGCTCTTCTCTTTAAGACTTTACTCAAAACTGCAGAACCACCATCAAAGTACCTGTAGACAGTGCATGGCATGAGATGAACCAGGACATCTTCGTTTCAAATGGCCACCTAAGCATTACTGGGGTGATGGTTAACTGATTCTAACTACTGCTGGGGAACTATGTAAGGGTTATCAAGATACAGTTCTTTACAGAAGTTGAGTTGTGACTCTGATATCATGAAGCAGAAGGGAATCAGTCTTCTTTACTAATTGCTTCAGCAGCCACAGAGTAAAGGCAGGGCCTCTGCACTTACTCTTGCTCTGCCTGGGAGCTTCCCTCTCCTCCTTCAACTCTTACTTCATCAGGAAGGCTTTCTTGCACCGCCCTATGGAAGAAGACCCAGTGCCTCCCAACTGCAGTACACTCTTCCTAAGTCCCTGCTTACTTTTCTCTCTTTCCTTCTTTCTCTCTTTCTCTCTTTCTTTTCCTTTCTCTTCCTTCCTTCCCTCCCTCCTTCCTTCCTTCCTTCCTTCCTTTCTTTCTTCCTTCCTTCCTTCCTTCCTTCCTTCCTTCCTTCCTTCCCTCCCTCCCTCCTTCCTTCTTTTCCTTCTTTCTTTCTTTTGCAGAGAGGGTCTGAACCCCTTGTTTTACATTCTTCATAACACTTAACACTAATTACTAGCAGACATATTTATTTATTAGTAGGGTGTCTCTCTGCATACGAACGCAAGCTCCACAAATGACAGTATGCATGTAATTCCATATCCCTACTGCCCATCACAATGCTTAGCCCACGGTGGCCCTTCATGTCTGTAAAATCTATGAATGAATACTTTCCACCTTATTTTAAAGCCAAAGTTTTTTAAAAAAAAAAAAGAGGAGTAATGTGAAAATGAAAGAGCACAAAATTTGGGCTTTTATCTAATTTAACTACCTATTTTATTCACCAGACCTGACTTTAATTGTTGGAAAAATCAAATGCTCTCAAAAGGCTAAGATCAGCTGACTCTGTGGATGGGAAGTTACTGAAGCAAAGTGTGAGTTACCTCTGGGTTGAAGGGCTTGCCTGCCATGGTTTCCTCCAGCTGGGTAAGACTCCTGACAGAGGGCAGACTGACTATTCTTTTGGTGATGAGACTGAACAACTCAGTATGATCTTCAGAGCCAAACAGCAAGTGGATATCTTGGTAACTAAGAAAGACAGTTTGAGGAGAGGGTTTTATCTGGTATTGATAAGTAGGAACCACAGTAACTAATAAGGCAAGGGAATATTGATTGCTCCGTCACTCTGATGGAAGACATAAACAGCATGGCTTGTTAGTCTGTTCAGATAAATCTCACAAAAGGTGAGTGGAAGAGTTTCCTCCTAAGAAGTCACTGGGGTAGGAGGGAAGTTTCCTCCAGTTCAGCCACAAAGGAAAGCCTGTTGTAGTCTAATGTAATTAGCCACAATCTTCCAAGCTGTGGAATGTTGATTTGGGGAACAGTGAGTTCAATCAAGTTAAAAACTTTTTAATACCAGATGTGGTTGTGCATGCCTGTAATCCCAGCACTTGGGAAGCTGATGCAGGGGGATTACTTGAAAGTTTGAGGCCAGTCTGGACTACATAGTGAGTTCAAAGCCAGCCTAAAATACATAGCAAGACCCTATCTTAAAAATTCAAAAACAAAACAACACCCTCCCCCCAAAAAACCCTTTTTAACTATGGGACATCTCAGTACCTTTAATCAGTTTAATTACTGTGGTATAAGTCTCTAAGAGCATTAAAGAGCAGGCAGTCCTTGCAAAGAACTTAGACCATGGAACTCTACAGTCATGAAGCATGCGTGGGAATCACTCTCCACTGAATATACTTTGGACAAATCTCAACCCCAAGAGGTTCCAACAAGGCCTTTCAGACCTGGATGGTAGCATATATAAAATCAAAGTTCTTACACAAACACACAAATTTGGCTTCTTTCCATTTCCCTAGCTAAATACTTTCCAAAAGTTAAAATATGGAACATGTTGGCTTTGGCATTGACTTGAATGAGGAACTGGGATGAACGTGTAAGGAGCACATGGTTGTCACCTGAGGACAGTGATGGTGGCAAAGACCTCCTGGAGCACAGGGCTGAGCAGAGAATGCAGGGGCTCCTCTTGCACCAGTACCTGCAGTGAGAGGCAAGGAACATTTAGGGAGTTGAAATGCACCAACTCATGAAGCCAGAGATGCTCAGATGTGATGGCCTGCAAGAACAAGAGTATGTCCCTCAGGATGGGCAGCAAGACATTGCAGAAGATTGCGGTTTATTTTCTGGAGCCAGATCCTGGGGCCTGGCTCTGTCCCTTGCTAAATGTCTAAGCTGATTCAGGTTATTGAGTCTCGCTGTACCTGTTTCCTCATCTGTGGAATGAAAGAACAGTACAACTTACTTTCATGGGGGTGGTTGTGAGTACTAAATGAGCTAACTCATAATATCTAGTTGCTAGTGTCTATTCATTATTTTCTAGTTTAGGCATTCTTCTCTTTCTACTGAACCAGTCATCCCTACTGTCCTGCCTAGGATCATTCTGGGTTGTTTATCATGGAAAAGGAACAGCTTTATAGCTTATAAATTGGTAAAGGGACAGCAGCCTTGCTATGTTAGAAAAATCTGCACAGTGAAAGTAGGGGTACAGTAGGGTTTTGGGGTTAGAGGTCCCCTGGGTTTGAGCAAGGCTCTGCCACTCACTTAGCATGTGGCTCTGGGTACATCATTCAACCTCCCTGTGCCTAAGTTCCTTACCTGTTTTGGGGAATGAGATATATCTCAGGAAGCCGAGTCGAGGAGCTGCTGTAAACATTCACAGGCATGCAAATATAGTGGAAAAATCCACTGGATTATCTACCCTGCCTCTGTGAGAGCAACCTCTGCTCATAGGAATGCGTGCCTGTGCTGGTTGATTGGTTGTACCGACATGAGTAAGTAATGCCCAACTAAATTGGTTCAGCATAGCTCTGGGTGCGGAACACCTACCCCAGGGAGGATTATTGCTAGAACGGTATAAAAGGGAGATGAAGAAGGATTGCTTCTGTTTTCTTCAGAGGAGCTCCAGTCTTGCTTTCACCTTGAACGTTGTCTCCAGGCTTCCAGTGCAGACTCTTCAGCCTCTAGCACCAACCCTCAGCCTTCCGGTGCAGACCCTTAGGGCTCCTGATATAGACGCACATGGACACTAGACTGAGCTCCAGGCCTCCAACTGGATTTTTTGGATCCCCAGTGTGCACAAAGAACTTTTGCACCCTTTCACACCTGACTCTGTGGGCAGCCACTGTAATCTAATCTTGTAAATTCTTACGTATTGGTACATCTTGATTTAAGTCTGTTTCTCTAGTAAGTACTGACTTACACAGCACTTCGCAGCCATGTTTCTGCTGTCATTCCATTCCCCTCGCCACAGTGCATCTGCCCAGGAATAGACACTAAGACCAATTAGATTTTCCCTCAGGAATCTGTAATTGGGACCAAGAGCACCCACTGGAAAATGAAGCTTTCCCCAGCATGTGAGAGCAGAAGTTTCCTATTGTCCGGATTTATTCTTTTTCCTGGGGCAAGCTATTCCTCCTGTCACAAGGTTCTGGGGAACACTGAAATTCCTGAGAACCAATCTCCCCCTTTGTGTGTCAGCTGCCTCTAGTGGGTTCCTCCTCCCAAAAAAGATCTCACTAGCAACCTAGGGAAATAATAAATAGTACCAGGTTTCCTTCCCAAGCTTTTCTCTTCTCTCTTTCTGGTCAAGTCTTGCTGGTGGCCTGCTGCTATTATTTCCTCAAGGAGCTCACTTATTTTTATGGCTTTATAGCCAAGAAGAGAAAAAACATGGCTCTGTCTTCAGCCTTGACAGCTCTCCCAGGGTTGACTCAGCACTGCCACTAACATCAGAGCCACCACCTGGCATTATCCTCCCCCTCCTAAGGACACACCTTTCTAGCTTCAATAGTTGTGAATGGTGTCTGTGAGGCTCAGTTAGGATATGACTCTCCCAGTACCCAACTTGTCTGCCAGCAAAGGCTTTGTTTTCAGCTCAGCCCCAGTGCCCTCGGCAAACACAGGATGTAGTAAAAGAGTGAAGGTGGCACTCAGAATCTTGCAAGCACTGGGACATCTAAAAACACCCAAGCCTTCACAGCCAATGCCTCAAAGAGTTTGCCCACTGAGATGCGAAACATCCAGAGAACTTTGCCCACTGAGGTTTACTAAGATCTTCCCACCTAATGTCCCTTGCCTTCTTTGAAACTCTGTTAAAAAAGGGCCCACTTCTCTTTGCTCCCTACAGATAGCCTTTTTGCCCTCTGTCTGCCTGCACCCAGGCACAATAAATTCCACACCATGTTGCCTTTACACAAGCCTGGTGGTCTCGGCTTGACTCTCTCTGTCTTCCATCGTTCCTTACAGTGCCCTTTCCCAGACCTCATAAAAAAGATGATTTATGACTTTTCTCTTGTGTGCACTCCCCACATCCCATCAATTCCAGCAGTTTCTGTGATTCTCCTTTCCCGCAGCCATACACCTCGCATGCATTGCCTCTTAGCTGAAACCCCAGGTCTGCAATCCCCTCTGACTTCAATTCATTTGGTCTACTTCTGCCAGGATGATCTTTTGTTTTCTTTTAATCAGCTGGCATTAAAAGCTGATTTGTTCATGGTTATGGCTAGTCACTACACAAGTGTGGTGACTCACAAGTGTCAGGGTATTTTTTGCTTGTGAAGTACGTGTACAGTAGCAGCTCTTAGAGTGATTGCTCAGATCACAGCAATCACCTCTTCTCTCTGCAACAGCGCCAGCTCATATAGGCAGGGAAGCTCAGCACTATACAATTCCCATGTGATCTTGTCCCAGCAATGCCTGAGTGATACAGATGGAGAATAGACCCTGCCTGGGCCAAGGGAATTCTTTTACCAACTTAATAACTAGTTATTAGTCAAATCAGCCTTACAGATCTCTGGTTTGAGAAAAAACTCATATTTCTGGGGTATATATGAAATGTCAGAACCAGAATTTCAGAACTTTAGAGAAACTGAATGGCTCATTTCACAGATGAGAAAAACTAAAACACAAGAAGTTAAGTATGTACTAAAGTGCATCACCTCCTCTGAAAGTTCTTTTGAATCCTTTACATGGACTTGACTACTCATTCATCCCTCTGTGTCCTCAATATACCAATTTAAACTTTGTTCACAGTTCCTGTGACACTGGATTATATCCAGCTTGGCTGCAAGGCCAAGGATTAGTCTTTGTGTCTTTCCAGCCTCAGTTCTTACAATGCCTGGAACTGTCAGGTACTTCATAAGGGAATAGATGGAGGAGTTGGCAGCAGAGTATGGCTTGTGAAGTACTTCTACAGTACTTATGAAGTTTGCGTTAAGATTAAGTACAAACAGGACAAAATACAATAGTGAAAATAATACAATCATGTTTCTCAAATGCATAAGTGTTAGGACCATGTATCTTAGTTACTTTTCTCTTTCTGCTGAGACAAAATACCCAACACCCACAGTTAAAGGGGGAAATGTTTATTTAGCTCAGTTAGTAGAGTCTTCAGTCCATAACTGGCTGGCTCCAAGGCAAGGTGGCTTGGCAGAGAATCGTTCATGGTGGGCAGAAGATAACAAAGCAGGTAAGAGGGCCAGACAAGCTTCTGTCTGTCCCTTACATTGTATACAGGCTACTGGGATTGTGGTGGTACAGGGCCAATCAAAGAACTGGTTATGTAATCACCTACCCTTAATCCTAGCACCCTTAATCCTAGCATTGCACCATGAACCAATCACACACGCTAGATTTAGCCACCTCTGAAAAAGCCCTACCTATGACTACATGAGGCTTTGGGGGGACATTTAGACACAAGCCATAATACCATGTTACATGCCTTGCATTTATGTTTAATTTAATACTCATAATAGCTCTATGAAATAAATAGCTACGCTTATTTTATAGGTGAGAAAACCAAGGCATCAGGAAGTTAAGTAATTTCCTAAAGTCACACAGCTTTAAAGTGGTAAAGGTAAACCTGAACCCAGGCATTGGATTAAATTCTGCCCCAAAACTACTGCTGAAGTTAAGAATATAACATTGACCTTACTAAGAAATTTAAATGCTAACGCTATTTCTTTCCTTTTTACTCTGGTTTTTAAAGGTGATTACATTTGTAGGGTACTCCTGAGTACTTCTCCTCCATTCAGAGGTGACAGGAGAAGAGGTTAAAGGAATTGATAACAGGGGTAAAACTACTACAAACTTCTTGGCAGGTCACTGAGTTTGTGGGGTCTCAATCATTTGTGATAAGATCACAATACTTACATTCAGGATGTGCACTATGTCTGCTATGTGGCTATGAATGAACGATTCTGTGGTTTCATCATAACGTAAAGTTTCACTGAGAGAAGACAAAGACCTCAGGAATGTCAGCTTTTCAGGTTCATCCTGAATTTGTAGAAAAATGATAAAAACACAATTATATGTGTTATATATGGGTAATATAAGGGTTATATGTGTTATATATGGGTTATATATGTGTTATATATATAGGTTATATGTGTTATATATGGGTTATATATGGGTAATATAAGAAACATCTTTTCTATCAAACGATATAAACAAGAGTGCCTCCATCCTAAACTCCAGTTCGCCCTGTGCTGCCTCCCACCCTCCACTCCTCACATCAGAGTTACAAAAAATGTCTGCTCAGCTCAGATTCCAGGAACATGGCCCACCAACAAAGACAACGTATCAATAGCTGAGGACTTTTGGTCCCCATAAACCCACTCTTCCTTCCCTTAGCAACCCTGCCTGCCAATCCTTCAGGCGTTTCCCCTTGTACCATTAAAACTAGCCAATTGAGACAGATTGTTAATTGTTAAACCAGCCAATGGGGAAATCAGCTGCTTCTCACTCTTAGGAAATAAAAGGAGCCCTTGCTACCTCTCTGCAAGCCAATTAACTCAGGGTGTGCTTGAACACTTCAAAGAGTTCTTGGTAGCTGAGTGCTTTATGATCCCCACAGGCAAACTGAGTTTGGGGGGCGTATTCCTAACAGTAACAGTAAGGACCTTTGAAAAGTATCTTGGAATATTTTAAACATCTGGTATCTGATTTGATTCATTAGCAGTCTTTTGTTATAAGGAATGAATAAATTATAGAAGGATTTCAGTAAAATTGTTCCAGCCCAGGGGCTACCTTCGTTTCCAGTGCTTTCCTTTTTGGCTAGATTACTAAAGGCCCACCTCGAGTCTTTATGTCCTCCCTCTCTCCCCTTTGTCAGGCTGCCAGGTTAAGCCTACTAAAGGTGACTTCTGGTGCTGTTCCTTTTAGTTCTCTTAATGTTAATAAAAATTCATTAAATCCTTAAAGTTTCCTATTAAAATGCAGTATCTGATGTGAAGAATAAAATCTTTTTGTATTGACATTCTGTTTTTCTGATTATAAAAAATATAGAAACTTAAGTAAAATAAAATAATTCTACAACTTTGAGAAAATTCTACCACTCTTTATCTACCTATATACTGATGGTGTAAACTGGAGAGAAAGTAGCAATGCATAGCAGGAAGCTGATTTCTCATTATCTCTTACATGGATCAGCACAGCCATGTAACAAGGGATTTCTTTGTTTCAGTGCCGTCTCTCCCTAGTCCATTTCCTCAGCTATAGCCAAATGCATTTTCCTCAAAAGCAAATTTGATCAGGTAACTCCCTGATCATCTACAATCTTTCAATAGCATCCATGGAGGTCAAGGCCCTCTTCAGGTGTGGCGATAGTTGACTTCTTCAAAGCATTTCTTGCCTATCATGCACAATTCTGAACTCTGGCCAGAAATGAGTTACTGGAAACACTACCCAAAGGGAAGTTACTATAATAATTGCTCTTATGAAGGTCCAAGCTAAGCAAGCTACTGCATGGTAGGATGACAGACGTTAAATTACACCTGTAATATCAGCAGTGAGGGAGGCAAAGGCAAGAGGATTAGAAGCTCAAGAACCACCTGGGCAACTTAGTGAGACCTGTCTCAAAATAAAAAGGCATGGGATGTACTTCAGTGGTAAAATACCACTGGGTTCCATTCCTAGTACCTCAAAATATATGTATCTTTTATATATATTTCTAGTACCCTAAAATATATGTATCTATATATAGATACATAGATATGATAAAAGCAAATAGATATACTTTTTCAAGCTAGACTTGTTACCAGGTTTCTGAGTGCTGGAGTCTCCTTGTAGAGGTGGTTTCTAGGTTCTTTCTGTCCTGAGCAAAGAATTGGTCGAGACAAGCACAAAACGTAGCAAGATTTCACATTAGTTGGTCAAGACAAGCACGAAAAGAAATTTGCTTTGCAGAGCAAGTTTGGACCCACTAAAAGTAGGAAAATAAATACACTCAACAGGATGAGAGAGGACCACTGTGCAAGAAAGAACACAATGGCCCAGAACTCAATGGCAACTGTCTTTTTATATCTCCCACTCCTCAGGCTGATGTCAAGTCTAGGCAGTCCTATTGAAAACCCGCTCTAGCTCTTACCAGAAGAATTGAAGACAGCACTCTGGTTCCACATGCAGGGCTTTGGGAACTGATCTACCCATGTATCCTGGGACTTTGCAATAAACAGGTCATACCCACTTCCCCAGTCAGATTACCACATCCTAATCTCCTGCCTCACAAGGAATGATCAAAAAGTACAGTGAATATTTTAACAATTTATGTAATCCCAGTTCTTTTGGAGCTGAGGTAGAAGAATCACTAGTTTAGGGGCTGGGGATTTAGCTCAGCGGCACAGCGCCTGCCTGGCAAGCACAAAGTTGTGAGTTCAATTCTTGGTACCGGAAACAAAACAAAAAAAACCAAAACAAACAAAAAAAAGAAGAATCACTAGTTCAAGACCAGCCTGGGCAACTTAGAAAGACCTTGTCTCAAGATTTAAAGAAAAAGAAAAAAACGAAAGAATGTTAGGTCCTATGGCTAACAGTGGAGTACTGTTAAGAGTTACATTAGGACATTCATTTCCTTACGTACTCTTTATTCATTTTAGTTGTTCTTAGGCTAAAGATAAAAATTCTTATGTTGGTTTTCAAGGCTCAGGAATCACCTCTTCAGCCTTACTTTGCACCGCTGTTCTTTTTTGTCACCATGACTTAAACATACCAGATTTTTTTGAGTTCTTCAGACAATGCTATGTTCCTTTAGACCTCAAAGTTGTTAAAACATATCATATCTTGTTTCTGTTCTCCCTCAGTTCTAACTTCTAGTTTTTCCTATACGTTACTTAGATCTGAGCTCAAGACTTACTTCTTCAAAGGCACCTTTCCTTACCCCTCAGGTCAAGGTAAGTTCTTCTGTTACATGCACCCAGAGGATGTGTGAACGAATGAATGGATGGTGTGCAGCTCATAAGTAGGATAAATTAAGTCTTTAATTATTAATCTAAATTTTTTTCTGACCAGCATATATGGTGGTTTTTCCTTATATAAGTCACAGGCATTTATACACAGAAAAAAATAGTCTACAAGTATATATATATATACACATACCAAATGTTAATAGCAGTTATCTCAGAAGAGTGGGGTTACAGAAGATTGACTTTCAAGTTTCATTCTGGTTTTCTTTTCATATCAATTTTATGATTTTATAAATGTAAATTAGAAATATATGCAAATATAAATTATACATATAAAATATAAAAGCAAAAGCATAGGTAAATTTTATAATTCAAATTCTTTGTATAACAAAGCAATAATATATGTGCAAAACATTAATGGAGAAATAAGTTGGATAACTCATGAAGATCAGACCTTTCATACCTTTAGCTTACCACTAAACACCTCCTGGATGGACTGGACTAGTCTCTCAACACTGGTTTCACAGAGAGGCCCCTGGGGGCTAAAATGTCTGAGGTTATCTGTGAAGGACTCCTGAGGGAGTTCAGGGAGATCAGGGATGTCCAGGTCTAATACTGAAAGAAACACATCAGATGATACCTTTGTAGCACGTCAAGTGATAGATTTATTGGTGAGAACCACTGGGTATCAGAGTAGACAGCTTTACTACTTGTGCTGTGGCCCTGACCAAGTCCCCTTCCTCTGCCACGACTCAATTCTCTCAATTACAAACTCAGTGTTCTCAAAGATTTTCCTAAGTTATAAGGATTTTTGGGACAAAGTTGCAGTTGAGAGGTAAAGAACACAGATTTTAAAATCTCAGTTTGAGACTAGTTTGAATCCTGGTTCTACCGTTAGTCATATGACCTTCATCAAATTAGTTTGCCATCTGGAATCTTTAGTTTTTTCATCTTTAAAAGGGAGCTATTGTAAGGATTAAATGAGGCAATATGTGCAAAATACAGATCTTAGTACTGACACATGGTAAGCATTTAGTACAGCTTTTGGTTTGCTTGCTTTGTTTTGTGTTAGGGATTGAACTCAGGAGCTTGCACATGCTAAGCTGGTACTCTACCACTGAGCTACCCAGTCAGCACCAATTTTATTACT